AAAGTCTGCGAATACAACAAAGAATTGCCAGATCAATAAACACAAAGGAAGACAAAGACAATACCAAGCTTCAGTATTCTATTGCAATTAGTTAACACCAGTTCTGTGATATACCTAATTTTTAACTGTGATTTATTTATTTATTATTTATTTTATTATTTATTTTTATTATATAAATGTTGGTGGAGTCCCGTTTTTTAATCTAAGTAAATAATAGAAAAATGACAAATAATTAAAGTAAGTTAAAAATAAGTGCAATATTTAAAATGTAATAAAAGAAATTACATCTTCATTTTTATTTTGCCAATAGATTAATAAAATCAGCTCTTGAAAATGTTGGAAAAAAGCCACCGAAACGTCGAGCGAAATATGGAATAAAAATCGTTTTATTTTCATAAAAAATTATCTGACCAGAAAAGCCCAACAAGAAACATAAAGATTTAATTAATTGATTTAAAAACCAGTAAGGGAAGTAGTAAAAATCGGACGATATATATATATATATATCTCAATCTGAACCGATTTTAATAAAACTTGTTACATGTTAGGATATCCCAACTTTAGCACGTTGTGCAAAATTTCACGCCAAGCGGCTTAAATTTGACTCTTTGGTGCACAATTATTTAAAAATCGGACGAAACTATATATAGGAGCTATATCTAAAGCTGTACCGATTTTCCCAATTTCAAATTTCATCCAATTCGGATCATAAATGCGACCTTTGTAAACAAAGGACAGATGGACGGACTGAACTCTAACTTTATGCTAGATCTATATTCCGAACCTAGGTAATATTTATTGGACGACATAATTTCCAAAGCCTTTATGCTGGAATCTTGTTATTTTGCACATACAAGTTACCCCGTGTATCATTTCTAATGTTCGGCTTATAGTAGTGGCCTCAGAACTAGAACTAGAAAATCATGGAAAACTAAATTTTTATGTCCACATCATCGCCTAATTATCACCGAAAATTATTGGCGTTGTCCCCAACTAAACCCGGAACTTCTTGTTAAATTTCATAGCGATTAGCGCGATATTTACGTCCGTTTGTGTGGTAATGGTAATACTACACAATATCAGGATATCAGGATTGGACCCCTGAAATATTTACGTATAACTCCCCTACATAAAAATATATAATTGGTATCAATTTAAATGTCAATCACTCCTCTTGGACATACTGTCAACATCTTTGGTTTAAGTCCCCCGGTCTAAGTTCCGCCATCAAGTGAACATTTTGACTTTTTTCACACAAAAAGTCCATTTTACCCGATTAATCTTGACCGATTAGCATAAAAACAGTCAGTTATTGTACCCTTACCATATAATTGTGTAGGTTATAACAAGTAAAAACTTCGTTTATTTCGGATCATTTACCCTTTAATCTGAGGAGTTTAAAAAATTCCTAAAATCGTTCGGAAAATTAGATGAAGGCTTCGTTAATAAGCGGACAACATGAGACATTTACTGCTAAACACATTTTACACACTTCGTATCACTTAGCTAATAATATAATTTTTCTTAAGCATTAATATTTGCTTGGTCTTACTTTTTTGGGTTTCCAGTTATTCGAAAGGATATTGTGGGTGTCTTTCGCCTACGACCTCTACTACGTATTGCGATCAAAGGCTTGTCGTTTTTCACATCTATAGGGTATAGATCAGTAGCACTTTAGGCGAATAGGTTGGCTTTCTCCTTACCTATAATGCCAATCGGACCTATAATTCCAATGGTTGTTAGTCCAATGTTTAAACATAACCAGTTTAAATACTCCATTATAGCTCCAACCTCATCGTATTGTGAACTGAAGGATCGTATTGTGAACTGACAGCCGAGAGCCATATGTGAAAAAACAGTTACCACAAGGCATGAGTATCTGTCCGGTTGAGGTTTCGATTGCAGCCTGTAAAACTATTAATAATAAAGCTAGGCTTTATTTTTTGAGCTTCATTGCTTTTCACCAAACTACTGCCTTTGAATAAATTTTCATTTTTAGCCTCTCCGATCCGTCTGTGGTCTTTCTACTTCATGTGCAGTTATATAACTTTATTTGATTTATTTTTAAAAATACCTCCGTCATGTCCGTATTTACATGAAGTCTCTTTGGTAATGTTTAACGCTGTTTCAGCCTTCCTGTATAGTAACATTGGATTCTTCTGCCTTAGAAGTATTATAACATCGTCTGCATAAAAATACTATTTCTTATCCCTTCTTTGTTAAGTTAGGCTCATCCAAAAAATTTTAATATTTTCGGTATTCCAAGTATTTGAGATTTTATGGCTGCAGTTTTGTATTTTTAGTGCAATGGAAAATTTGTTCCATCCACGTTTGATTTCTGGATAGATTTCCTTTATAGGAATCCCGGCCGTTTTTCCTTACATTTTCCGCTGCAGTACAGTATACTTCCAGTGGGTTTGGAAATTTCAATTCATATAAGGGTCACCTACATTTATAAATGTTCTCCAACGGTGTAGGGTATAATAAATTTGACTCTATTTTTTCTATCATAAGGTGTCAAAAATGGTGCATAACAAAAGTACTAAAGAACAAAATGATAAAGCGTCGAATTAAAAATTTTTAAAGATATATATTTAAAATTTGATGGAGAAGAATTAATTCACTGGCAATTATTCATCAAAGATGATATATGGTATATTCCAATTTATTTCGAAAAAGGTGCGAAATTTGACAAATAGAACTTTTGCTTATATCCAAATTAGAGTTATTTTTTAGAAATAAATATCGTGTTTACAAAAATCTTTTCTGTTGTAATTAATTGTGAAATTCGATGAATAATAATTTTGTCTTTGACGAAATACTCCTAATATGCACATTTATAGACGATTTTGACACATTTTTGCTAGGTGTTTTATTGACACTTACTGAAGTCAACAATGAATTTGTGGCCAATTTTATACTGTACACCAAAACGATTGAATTTAAATATATAATTTGATTTGAGACTCTTAGTGAAATTTTACGTAAAATATTTCATGCACGAACAATTGGGTTTCATGTTACTTTCGTACAATTTGTTGACAAAAGTGCTGGAAATTTTCTATGGAAAAATGCAAAAATTTTCGAATTTTTGTCCGAAAATTGAATTATATATATATATATATATCGATTTCTTTTGTTCAGTGACTTATACTAAAATTTGATGGAAAATATTTTTGTTCTTTATACCATAATTCTAAAACGACATCTAGCGGGAAAAATTGGTACAAACTCGAAATAAGATGGGTTTAAAACTTAAAATGAATTTTCAAAATTCTGAGACTTCTAGTAAAACTATATGGCTAACATTTTTTAGAATATTCTGACCTGATATAACCCCGTTTTAAATATGTTTCTGGAAAAGGGGGCCGAAATGACGCCTTCGGAGAGGCGACTGAGTGTTCGGGGATTCCTAATAAGAAAATTTAAAAAGGTCTGGCCCCTATTTTTAGATTATCTCCCTATGTGAACTTTCAAAACGCTGATACACGTGCCTTCTAATTATAGCCCATCTATCATATTTTTTATACCCTACACAACTATGTTGTCAGGGTATTATAGCTTTGTGCAGCCCCAAATGTTTGTAACGCCGCGAAATATTGGTCCTAGACCCACCTTTAAGTATACCGATCGTCATATCTCGACTAGCTGAGTCGATCTATCCGTCCGTCCGTCCGTCCGTCTGTCCATTATAATTTGTAAACACGATACAGGCCACAGTTATGGACCAATCTTCACGAAATTTTGCATGTAGGATGGGTTCTGGCCAATGAAGATCCCTATTGTTTTAGGAAAAGATCGGTTAATATTTATGGGATGAAATGGACCAAATACTAAATTTTTGTCGGTTTTTCTGGTCGCTCCAGAGGCCGCAATAATGACCCGAACATCGTGAAATTTTGCATGGAGAAGGGGGTCGGGCCAAAGAATAAGCATGCCTGTTTTGATAAAGATCGGTCAATATTTAGCGGGTCAAATGGACCCTGACTTTTGTGTGAAAAATTACAAAATTTGTATTCTATAGCGTATATATTTACCCCTGAAGGACATAGACCCGAAAAATTGATATTATATCCAAGAGGAGTGGTTGACCTTTAAATTAAGACCAATTATATTGTCGCATGTGCTCTGATGTGGGAGTTACACCTAAATATTTACAGGTATCTCCGTATTTGTATGTTATTTAGTAACCCATTATCACTCTAGAGAGCCGAACATAGCGCTGATCGCTTTGAAATGTTCCATGAGGTTCCAGTTATGGTCAAGGACAACGCCTTTAATTTTCGGTGATGATCAGATAATAATTTTGGAATGAAGTGGACCGAAAACTTAATTTTTTTGTGTTATTTTCGAGTCGATCTACAACAACACAACCCACGGTGAAGGGAATCTGGACAATAACTGTACTGAATACTCGTAATATTCGGAAAATATGTCAGTGTGTGGAAGAGGTGCTGTTTACCTATAATCGGGCAAGAGTGTGCAAATATCACGAAATATTGCCCAGGCTCGGAATACACATCCGTAGAAAATTTGAGTTCAGTGGTAGTTGTGTAGGGTATCGTATGGTCGGCCCCGTCCGACTATACTGCTCCGCTCACTGGTTTTTATTTATTTTAATTAATTTATTTCCAGTCAATATGGTTACTATATTCATTGTCTCAAATAAAAACTTCAATTGGATTACAATAGCAATTGAATTGTCAGTTAATATATATACTTATTTGTAATTATCCATATATGAACTATTTGAAATACATATGTTTTTTAATTATAGTATATTTTTTATCCCAACTACTTTACTAATTAAATATTCTCTATGGTTTACATATTTACAATATAACATATTTATATATTAACTTGCAATTACAAATGAACATTTTTTTTAATTTGTATTTTTTTTCTTTCTTTTTTCGATACATTTAAATATAATATGTCAACTGAATGACTTGCTGGCTGTCTCTCATCCTCCTCCACCCCTCGGCTTGGCCATGTCACAGGATATACCATTGCATGTTGCCATGATAACGCACATTTTAATAGCCTGGGACCGTATGCGTTGGCTGGGCAATCCACTCAAGGGACGTTTCCCGGCGTTCGTCTGTTGCTGTGCCACATGGCTGACGGGAATGGTGATTGCACTGCCATATCCCATTTATACAATTTACGTTGAAATCGGGGTAAGTAGAACGTGAACGTAATGTGAACAACAACGACAACAACAACTAAAAAACAAAAGCCGCCTAGAGCGATCAATATTAAATTTGAATTTAAAATTGTTGTTTGCAATGCATTTTAATGGGGATTTAAAAAAAATGCAATAAAATGTTTAAAGAAAATTTGTAAAATTATGATAAAATGCCAAACCGTTGACATGTGAAATTATATATTCCAAGAAGTTTAATTAATGGTAGTATCCTTTTGCCAAGGATTAGGACTTTCAGTTTCTGTTAATGAAAATTTGCAAAGTGCAAAGTTTCAACTTTCAAATATCCCGCTGTTTCCAGCAATTCCTTACAGCAACAAAACTTTTACATTTCCTTTTATTACAACTGCGAACAAAATGTAATCATCACTCAGAATCCTTCGGTTTTTTTTCTGGCATGTCCTCATTAGGTTAAGTAAGATTTAGCAGGAAGAAATCTGGTGCTAATGTAGTTAGCTATGTTCGTTTGTAAGTGTGCGTGTGGGTGTGTGAATTATATTAAAAAGTTGGTTTTACGACTTTCACAGTTGACAGATTGAATGTGCCAGATTGAATGTGTGAAATATTGTTCGAAACATAATTTTTCGCTTCAAAAGAAGAAAAACCGATGGGAAAAGGTTATAAAATCAACTTTTTAATATTTCAAGTTTATTAACGGCAGGATGTGGTGGTTGGTTTTTGTGGGTTAGGTCATAGGATAATGGATTCGACAAACAATATTTCACATATTTTGATGAATGTTTACATTAACTTTATTAAAACTTAATTGAAAATTTAAAATGTCATTGAAAAAAAATTCAAAAGGACTCGCCTGCCCTTGGAGTCATAGAAGAAAAAATAACAAAGAAATTTAAAAAGGCTTCAATAATTTCAATTGTTTGTTTAAGGACTATGAATAAGCGTGAATTAAAAAAATATATATATTTTTAAGGACTATTCTAAGGATTGGATTTTTATACCCTACACAACTATGTTGTCTGGGTATTATAGCTTTGTGCAGCCCCAAGAGTTTGTAACGCCGCGAAATATTGGTCCTAGACCCACCTTTAAGTATACCGATCGTCATATCTCGACTAGCTGAGTCGATCTAGATATGTGTGTCCGTCCGTCACGATACAGGCCACAGTTATGGACCAATCTTCACATAATTTGGCATGTAGGACAGGTTGTGGCCAAGGAAGACCCCTATTGTTTTTGGTAAAGATTGGATTATATTTAGTGGATGAAATGTACCAAATACTTAATTTTTGTCGGTTTTTCTGGTCGCTCCAGAGGTCCCAATTATGGCCCAAAAATCTCGAAATTTTACATGGTGAAAGGGATCGGGACAAAGAATAAGCATGCCTGTTTTGATAAAGATTGGTCAATATTTAGCGGGTTAAATGAACCCTGACATTTGTGTGAAAAATGACAAAATTTGTATTCAATAGCGTATATGTTTAATTCTGAAGGACATCGACCCGAGGAGTTGATAGTATATTCACGAGGAGTGGTTGACCTTTAAATTGATACCAATTATATAGTCGTATGTACTCGGATGCGGGAGTTACACTTAAATATTTACATGTGCTTACGTATTCATATATTATTTAGTAACCCATTACCGCACTAGAGAGCGGAAATATAGCGCTGATCTCTTTGAAATGTTCAATGAGGATCCAGGTATGGTCAAGGACACCGGCTATAATTTTCGGTGATGATCAAATAAAACTTTGGGGTTGAACTGGACCAAAAACTTCCTTTTTATGTTTTTTTTCGAGTCGATCTATAGGCCACAATTATAATCCGAACATCACAACACAACCCAAGGTGAAGGGAATCTGGACAAGTAATTAGAAGGGCTGTACTCAATATTGGGAATATACGGAAAATATGTCAGTGTCATGAAGAGGTGCTGTTGATCTCTAATCGGGCAAAAGGTTGCAAATTTCACGAAATTGCCCAGGCTCACATCAGCAGAAAGTTAGAGTTCCGTGGTAGTTGTGTAGTGTATCGTATGGTCGGCCCCGTCTGACTATACTGCTCCGCTCACTGGTTTTAAAATGGATTTTCAGGGACTATTTCAAGTCGTGGATTAAAAAAAAAAACAATTTTCAAGCACTTTTACAAATCGATGATTGTTCAAATTTCTTCAAGGTCATTTACCAAACGAGGATTTTGTAAATTCCTTGAAAATATATTTCAAAAAATCCACGCCTTATTTTAGTCCTTGAAATAATGTTTTATAAAATCCACGCCTTATATTACTTACTTACTTAGCTGGCTTGCGACAGAACTTTCGTTCCATAAGCCGAGCTTTAAAAAGATTTCCTGGCGCGTCGGTCGTTTGCGCAGTTTTTCCAGTTTGAAAGATCATATTTGGCAATATTGTCCTCCATTTGATCTTTCCATATTAATCGTGGCCTTCCCCTTCTGCGAGAACCATTAGCAGGTTCGCTTTTATATGCCGTATGGGCTGGGGCATCTTCATCCATTCTCACAACATGACCTAGCCAACGTAGTCGGTGCAGCTCAATACGTCTAACAGTGCCGATGTCCGAGAATAGCTGGTACAGCTCATGGTTCATTCGAAGGCGATATTCACCGTCCATGCAGATCGGTCCGTAGATCTTTCGGAGAATTCTTCCACCCCCAACACTCCAAGAGCAACTCATCCGCTTGCGCGAATACCCATGCTTCATATCCATATAACAGCATGGGTAGTATCAGCGTCTTGTAGGTTGTGAATTTGGTCTGGCGGGTGGTGGCCTTGTTTTCAAATTGCTTACTTAGACCATATTAGCATCTTTTGGCCAATAGTATCCTTCTCCAAATTTCAAAACTGATGTCATTCGTTTTATTTATGGCGGTACCAAGGTATAGAAAATCTTTATCTCCCTCGAAGCTGTAGTTCTCAAGTTCAACAGTTGGTCCGAGTCTAATGGAGGTCTTGCGCGTTGATACCATCAGCTTGGTCTTCTCGCCGTTTACTGCCAGACCCACTTTGGCAGACTCCTTTTCAATTTGTTCAAAGGTGGCTGTTACCGCTCGCAATGTTCGACCCATTATATCGATGTCATCGGCGTAGGCGAGTAACTGATGTTGTTTGGTGTACAGAGTGCCATTTCTGTTCACCTTTGCGTCTCGTATGACCTTTTCCAGTAGGATGTTAAAAAGATCACACGACAAACTGTCACCTTGTCTGAATCCTCGATCGGTATTCAAGGACTCTGATAGGTCATTTCCGACTTTAACTGCTGACCTAGTTCCGCTTAAAGTTATCCTGCATAGCCGTATTAATTTTGCAGGAATGCCGAACGCTGACATGGCTTTAAACACCTCTGAACGGATAGGGCTGTCAAATGCTTTATAGTCGACGAATAGGTGGAATGTGTCGATGTGTTTTTCGTGGGTTTTTCCAGGATTTGGCGCAGAGTGAAAATCTGGTCAATGGTGGATTTTCCGGCTCTCAAGCCGCATTGGTATGGTCCAATAATGTAATTGACCATTTGCTTCAGCCGTTCACCCAAAACGCTGGATAAAACTTTATATGCGATGGGAAGAAGACTAATTCTTCTACATTTGGCACATATCGTCTTGTCTCCTTTTTTGTGCACGGGTCACAGGATCACAGGAGGTTCCAATCATTGGGCATGCATTCCTCTAGCCAAATTGTAATAATCAGCTGGCGCATGCTCCTGACCAGCATCTGATCACCAGTCTTGAATAGATCGGCTGGTAACACAGCGGCTCCTGCTGCTTTATTGTTCTTCAGCCGATTAATTGCAATTCTCACCTCATCTTGGCTGGGTGGTATACACTCTATACCATCATCTCTTATTGATTCTGGGGTATCTTCTCCACCGCCACTATTTGATACCAGAAGCTTTTCAAAATGTTCCTTCCAGATCCTCAACACACTATCTGTATCTATCACCAGGTTTCCTTCTTCACCTCTACAGGGAGATGTGCCTGCACCAAAGTCTTCGGTTTGGTGTTTTACCCGTTGGTAAAATTTCTGGACTTCATTTTGACTCCTGTATATCTCGATTTGCTCACCCTCTTGTTTTTCTTGTTTTTTCTTCTTTTTTCTGAAAATACGTTTCTTCTCTCTCTCCTTTTCTCCCGATACTTCTCCATCGCACTACTGTCTGCAGGGTTGCACTTTACTCTGCGGTCGCATTACGACACCTCTGATCGTACCATGGTTTTTCTTGATTGTGGTTTTTGGTACCCAAGTGTTGCTTTTGCTGCAGTTTGTAGGAAGTGAGCAATTGTTTGCCATTGTGCTTCTATACCATAATCGGGACAAGAAGTGTTTTCGTCAAGCAGGTGGATAAATTGAGCGGAGTAGGCTTCTACTATCTGTTGTGTTTGCAGCTTTTCGACGTCGAGTTAACGCGTTGTGTTAGATCGCACCTTTGCTGCTACATTAAGACGAGTGCGAACCTTGGATGCTACAAGGTAGTGGTCCGAATCGATATTCGCTCCTCGGATCGATCGAACGTCTAATACACTGGATGAATGCCTTCCGTCTATCACAACATGATTAAATTGATTTCTCGTTGCTTGATCAGGAGAAATCCAGGTGGCCTTGTGTATATCGAGTTGCTTGAATCTGGTGCTTCTAACTACCATGTTTTTTGCTGCCGCGAAGACAATCAACCTCATGCCATTGTCGGATGTTTTTTCATGAAAGCTGAATTTTCCGATGGAGGGGCCAAAGATAATTTCCCTGACGATTTTTGCATTAAAATCTCCTAGCAGAATTTTAATGTCATGACCAGGGCAACGATCATGTGCTGTTTCTAGGCGTTCGTAAAATATGTCTTTGGTCTGTTCATCTTTGTCTTCGGTCGGGCGCAAGTGAGACTGATGTAGAAGAACTTCGCATTTATACGGATTATAGCAATTTGCTCATCTATTGGAGTGAATCTGGAGACGATGTCTTTTATTAGCCTGTTAACCATAAATCCGCAGCCAAATCCACGTCTC